GGCCCCCGGCCGGCGGCAGCAGCTCGGCCACCTGCGAGTGCCCGTGCCAGGCTGCCTCATGCAACGGCGTGCGTCCAGCATGGTCAACGGCGTCCACCCTGGCGCCCCGTTGCAGCAGGAGGCGCACCAGTGGTGCATGGCCTCGCAGCACTGCCAGGTGGAGTGGGGTTCTGCCCACTAGATCCCTGTTGAGGAAGCAAGGACGTCGTGTTGGGGGCCAGAGGCAGCCCAGGTGACTGTACTCCCATCCTGCCCCCCCTCCGAAAATGAATCCCTGTCACCCACCTAGTGATGGACAGTTATCCTGCCCTGCGGCTCACCTCTCCTCCACGCTAGCCCCTTGTCTCAGCAGCTGCATCACCAGGCCTGCGGGACCTTTCCACACAGCATGAAGCAAGCGCCCCAACTCCTGCGGAGCACTGGGCCCCTCTCTTCTGGCTTCCAGGGCATCCTGGGAGCATAGTTCCATCCATTTCAGTTCCTGCTCTACCTCCATGTCTCCTGGATCTTGTTCCCTGGGCTCAGGCCTCCCAGAGTCCATCTGGGGAGAGCAAGAATTCTGCATCTACCCTGGAAGCCTGTGACTGGCCCCAGCCCAGGCGTCTCAGGCCAGAAAGGAACCCCCACATCCCACCAGGAAGACCCAGCCACCACTCAACCTTCTGAAAACTGAACTGCCTGTTACCCTCAGAGGGCCCTGGATCAGGGGCTCAGTCCTCTGACTGGCGGTCCTCTCCAATGGCGGTTCTGGCCCAGCTTCAGCCTAGTGACACTCCTGCAGACCTGGAGAAGAGGTGTCTGCTCCTGGGAGGCTGGAGCTGCAGTGTGGGGTGTCTGCTCCTGGGAGGCTGGAGCTGCAGTTGTGGGTAGGGAGAGCACAGTTGGCTTCTGTTGCCTCCTGGACCAGGCTGAGGCCACTTGATACTGTTTACTTTCACCTTAAGGGGAGGCCCTGCCTACCACCAAACCGCAGCCCTTGTCTGGGCACCTTTTCTCCTCCACTGACTGCCAGGGCCCCCAGCTTGGCCTCCCTCCTGGGGAACAAAGGCAGGACGGACTGAGAAGGACAAGCAGGAACATGCCTGTGGACAACAGCTCCTCTGGTCCCCCCTCCTCCAAGAGCACAGCTTTGATGTGCCGTGACTTGCCCTGGGAGGCACCGTATAGGCCTCCCATGGGTCCCACCCTTGGGACCTGTCTCCTTACCCCCACTTCTGTTCCTGTAGCTAAGACCACCTCAGGGCTGAAGCTGGCCTCTCCTCCTGATTCAGGGCTGGGGAGGCAGGCAGCGAGAGGTTCAATCCTGCTTTCCTGCGTGAGAACAGATTTAGCACAGATACCAGGCAAGCGACCTGAAGAACAGCATGCCAGTGTGGAGGCAGTGGGATGGAGAGCCCCCAGAGCTGCTGAGGCAAGTCCAAGGAGACTGGTAGGAGCAGACACTTGGGCAGACGGAAGGAGCCAGGGCAGGGCAAGGGAGGATTCTTATGAAAGGAGCTGCTGGAAGATGGAAAAGTGGCCTTCAGGATGAGTCACCTTGATTCTGGGGCCCATGACAGAGTGGGTAGGGCTCGCCCTGAGGCCACATTCCCATCCCCTAATACCTGGGGCCAAGCCACCTGCCCAGAGACCAGACGTGAGAAAAATGATCCAAATAGCTGGCTTTTGCAGCTTCTCCCCTCCTATGACTTGAGACTACCCTATGGGAGGCAGTGCCACATTGGGCCTGCCCATTCCCACCCCATCCCTCTCCAGTTCCTCTGGGTACCCCCAAGCTCCCAAGAATGAGGTGTCCTGGAAGCTCTGCCTTGGACCCTCCCCCCCTCGCCCTTATTGGGTTTCTTCATCATGCCCAAAGGGAGGATCTCTAGGCAAGAGGTGAGGAGTCTCATCCTACCCCAAGTCATGCAGACCCTACCCTGTGAACCTCATCAGTCTACTCACACATGACCTCCCCAGAGGGGCTTTTGTCTCCAACCCTGTTATAGTTTCTTCTTAGCATTTATCACTACACCAAAGGATCTGTTTTTGTTTGTTTTCATGTTTAATGTGCCAGAGGTGGGCCAGCCTTTAGGGTGGCAATTAAGGCAGCTGGATCCCACATAGCTAACTTGGTGGTTCAAATTCAGGACCCAGCACTTTGAAAAACATGCCAGGTAGGAAACAGGAAAGCTGCAGAACACCGTGGAGTGCTCCTGTGTAAATAAAAAGAGGGGAAAAAAAAATTCTCAAGTTACCACTGCCCTGGCGTTGGGCCGGGGTGGGGGTCTGCACTCTCTTGAGCGGCCATACCAGGCTTTATTGTGCTGCTATGAGCCTTTGTCCCCATTGTTTGTGCCTTTTTTCAAACTATGACAAAGGTTCAGGTGAACAATGCAGTGGTGCTGGACAACCCTTCTCCTTTCTACAACCCGTTCCAGTTCGAGATCACCTCTGAGTGCATCGAGGACCTGTCTGAAGACTTGGAATGGGAAATGATCTCCATGGGCTCTGCAGAAAGTGAAGACTATGATCAAGTTTTAGACTGTGTTTTTGTGGATCTTGTTCCTGCAGGAAGGCATATGCTTGTATTTCTGGCCGAATCCAGGACTCATTCCAGATGCAGATGCAGTAGCCGTAACACTTGTGCTAATTCAAGAATTTATGAGAGTTGGCTATTATAATGAATATATTGAGGCAGAATTAAGGTAAAATCTGTCTGTAAAGCCAGACTTTTCTAAGTTTCAAAGAAACGTTTTGGCATCTGATCCTAGGGTCACGAGATTCCACATTAACTGGGAAGTTAACACAGAAAAACTGGAAGATGCAGAGAGCAGTAATCCAAATCTACAGTCACTTCTTTCAACAGATTCGTTACCTTCAGCATCAAAGGGATGGTTCATGTCAGAAAACTCACTAAATGTCATGTTAGATTCCCACATGAACGGCATGTGACCACCTGCCATCCCTTTAGTACAAATTAAGCTATTAAGAACACAGAACTTGGGAACCAGCAGTTAGCATAATGGCTATGTCATTGGACTCCTACGTAGTCAACCGCGGTTCGTGTCCCGGACCCAGTGGCTTAAAACTCACGCCGGGCGCGTGTGCGTGCGTGCCCAAGATCCCGAGAGGAGAATGGAGGAGAAGGGATTGCGGCGTGACCATCCCCCCATGAGGTGATTTCTCACTTTCTGTCTCTCTGTCTCTCTCTGTCTGTCTGGCGAGTGCATGGACCCTATAGCAATAAAACCTCTCAAAAAAAAAAAAAAAAAAAAAACAGAACTTGGGGCCAGCATGTGGTGTGGTGGTTAGAGGTGCTGGACTCCCACATGGCCAACCGTGGTTCAAGTTCTGAACCTGGCAACTCGCTCTCTCTTTCTCTCTCTCTGTCCCTCTCTGGTCAAATTAAAATAAATAAAAATGAATAAATGTATAAAGTTAAATAAAATAAATTAAAAAGAAAACAAAAACCACAGAACTAGGGACTGGCAGGTGGCGTGATGATTTAGGTGGCTGGATTTCCACATGGCTGACCATGGTTTGAGTCCCAGACCTGGCAGCTTGCTCACTTTCCTTCCCTCTATCTGTCTTTCTCTGGTCAACCAAAAAAAAAAAAAAGGAAGAATAAAATTAAATAAAAATAATTCTTAAAAAAAAAAAAAAAACACCACAGAACTATTTCTCCAAAATTCCGTAAGTACATTGGTAAGACACAATGTGAAGAATTTGTTTAAAAACATCCTAGAGAAAGTTTATAAGAAAACCAGTATTTGAGCAAATTGTGGAATATAAATACTATTTCTTTTTATACGTTTTTGCTATAGGGCATGTGCGCTCACCAGAGAGATAGAGAGATAGAATGTGAGAAATCACCTCCCAGGGGGTATGGCCATGCCACAATCCCTCCTCCTCCATTCTCCTCTCGGGATCTTGGGCACGCACGCACACGCGCCCGGTGTGAGTTTAAGCCACTGGGTCTGGGACTCAAACTGTAGTTGTCTTCATGGGAGTTCAGGGACATAGCCATTTGCTAACGGCCGGTTATAAGTACTATTTTTAAGTAGTTTTTTTCTCTAATGTGTTATTTTATTTGTTCTTGAAACTAATCTAATTAAAGCATACATATTATTTTCTTCTTCTTTATATGTAATTAAAACACTTATAAAGAAAAGTACAAGGGAACCAGCAGTTAGCGTCATGGCTATGTCACTGGACTCTCATGTAGTCGACCGCGGTTCACATCCCGGATCCGGTGGCTTAAAACTCACGCCGGGTGCGTGTGCGTGCGTGCCCAAGATCCCAAGAGGAGAATGAGTAGAAGAGATTGCCGTGTGACCATCCCTCCTGGGGGTGATTTCTCGCTTTCTGTCTCTATGTCTCTCTCTGTCTGTCTGGCGAGTGCACGCGCCCTATAGTGAAAAACCTCTCCAAAAAAAAGAAAGAAAAGTACAAGCATTAGTCCAGGTTGTAAACATGTCTTATCCTCTTGAACAATAATCTTTGATACCGTTTTACTAGACTTTTAAAGAACAAAGTTTATGTCAACCAAAATGTTTCTTCCTGCTGGTTAAGGGCGCTGGACTCCCACATAGCCAACTGTGGTTCAAGTCACAGACCTGGCGGCTTGCTTTCTCACTTTCCCTCTCTCTCTCTTTCTCTCTCGCTCTGTCCCTCTCTGGTCAAGTTAAAATAAATAAATAAATAAATACAATTAAATGTTAAGTTAAACAACTTGAACCATGGTTGGCCATGTGGGAGTCCAGCACCCTTAACCACCATGCCACCTGCCAGCCCCAACAAAAATAATTCTTAAAAATTTCTTTTGGTATCTGTTCTTGGCCAAATTTATACAAAAACTGGATTTAGAATGGCATATTTAACTTTATTGGGACTAGTAGTTGGCCTAATGGCTGTATCGCTGGACTCCCATGTAGTCGACCATGGTTCTAGTCCCGGACCCGGTGACTTAAACTCATGCTGGGCGTGTGCGTGTGCCCAAGATCCCGAGAAGAGAATGGAGGAGAAGGTATTGCAGCCTGGCCATCCCTCCCTGAGGAGTGGGGGGGTGATTGCTTGCTTTCTGTCTCTTTCATTTCTCTCTGGTGAGCACACATGCCCTATAGAAAAACCTCTCCAAAAAAGAGAAAGATGTATTTAGCTTTTTTTTTTTTAATTTTTTTTTAGAGGTTTTCGCTATAGGGCACATGCGCTCACCAGACAGACAGAGAGAGACAGAGAGACAGAAAGCGAGAAATCACCCCCCCAGAGGGGATGGTCACGCCGCAATCCCTTCTCCTCCATTCTCCTCTCGGGATCTTGGGCACGCACGCACACGCGCCTGGCGTGAGTTTTAAGCCACCGGGTCCGGGACGCGAACCGCGGTCGACTACATGGGAATCCAGTGACATAGCCATTACGCTAACTGCTGGTTCCCTTAGCTTTATCATTATAGGAATATGTTACTATTTTTTGGGAATACATATATTTTTCACACCTGTAGTACTCTTCCCCATATCCCTGACACTCATGAATAATAAGGTCTGACATATCTGTGGTTGACATAGACTAGATAGCTTTTCTAGATAAAAGTTTTTGAAAAGCAATCTTAGGAATTTATAACTAAATGAGCCAAAAATTTCTTTTTTTATTATAAAGAGCTAGGTCCTTCCTCAAAAAGTTTCTTTTGCTGTATTTAATTAAAG